CACACTTGAGAAACTGCTGTGGGTACCATCACTGAATAGCTCCTGTGGAGGATGTGTCTAGTCACATAATGGATGGTGTGGGCAGCTGGCTAGTCAAAAGAGGTATGGGGAGAAGCTAAAGGCTGAGAGAAGCAGGGACAGCAAGGCGAAGGGGGAGTCAGGAGAGAAAAAGCTAGGTAGACGGGAGGAAGCGGGAGAAACAGCAAGATGAAGAGGTGAGTGCAAGAGAAAGGAAGAAAAGGAGATAGGATGGGAGGGAAAGAAGAAGGTTAGGGGTGGGAAAAGCAGAGGGAGAGGAAGGAAAAGGTTTGAATGGGGAGAAATAGCAAGGCGAGAGGCTGGGTGTGGAAAAATAGAGAGAGCGCATATAAACAGAAAGGTCTGCAGGTCCTGAAGAAGATTGAGTGGACTCAGAAATGAACTCTTTCCATCACTGCCTGCATCCAGAGCAGCTCAGCAGCAACAGGTTCAAGACCAGGAAAGAGAACCTGGTGTTCTAACATCTTTCAGATTTTATATTAATAATAATTTTTAAAGGGGCCAGGAAAGAAAGAGCTTCATGGGTGCTGTTGCAGGGGACCAGATGGGTAGCATGTTGGAGACCCCTGATCTGGAGTCTCCCACATTGGGAAAGGCTACCCTATATTGACCAGCGGCAGCTCTGCAGGGTTTCAGACTGGAGTCTCTCTGGAGATGCCAGGAACAGCATGAGAAGTGTGTCTTCTACTTCGAGCTATGGTCTTTTCCCAGAGGACACTTCCATGCACCCTGGGAACATGAACAGTTTTCACCATGGAACTTCTGGTTCATCCTGTGGTCAGAGGGGGAGCCCTAACCCACCTGAGCTAATCTGGGTTCTATGATGACAGGCCTCAGAGCCTCCCTGAGTTGTAGTACATAAGGAAAGGATCCACCTCTGCAGTTAGGCACTGGAAACATCTGAACTGGAAAGCCCTGATGTAAGTACTGGGGACCTGACCTCACATTCTCGCCAGGTCAACAGAATAGCACCCTCTTCCTACAGCTCATGGAGAACCTTCAATCTGCAGGCCCTATATGGCCCTGAGGGGCTCTCCATCCTGCCTGCCTGAGACCCTGATCTGGATCTTAAACAACCCAGTTTCACACACCAGGGTCCCAGTACAGATCCTGAGCCCAGCACCTATTCTAGAGTAATTTTTTGAAGACATAAACTACTAGGCTAGACACAGAGTATGGGCAGAATTCTAGGCATGTTTAGGCAGAAAAAAGTCCCACAATTCCCAGTGTTCCTCAACCAGCCATCTAAGCATGCATATAACTGCACCTCTAAATCTATGTCTGTTTTGGCCCTGTAAGGAGAGAGAAAAAGACAGGAGGCATGAAGTACGGTTCTGAGGATACTGCGTGGAGGCAGACAGAACCTGAACTCAGGATTACAGGCATCCTATGGAGGGTGCGAGGAGTCCAGAGGTGAGGATTCAGAGCAAGTCTTTGAGGTCCAATGTCTCCCATGACATAAGTTTTTGCCCCAAAGCTTTGGTTTACCTAAAGTTGCTCAGAAAATGGACAAACCTTGCCCTTCGCATTTGATGGTATAAAGTTGATTATCAAATCATGTATTTAGAAATATGGAAAACAAAACATACTTTGAATAAAATAATCACTTTGTATGGTCAGTGAGATTGGGTCAATCACATGTGAAATGATAGGTTTGTCTTCTTGACTATCTCTAAAGTCAAGTTCCTAAAAGGAATTCTGTGTGTGCAGAATAAACATAATTATAATTCATATTTCATATGAATTCATAATGAGCAGAAGGAGGAAAATGATATAAGCAGCTTTGCGTTCTTTAAGCCAAAAAAGGTAGGCTATAAATCCAATAAATAAAATTTATTCTAGGAAGCTCTGTCAGAAGCAATAAGCCTAATCAACAAAAACAAATGGTCTTCCATTACAGTACAGTTTATAAGTATTTTAGGGTACAGTCCAATGCACCCTATTGCTGATGCACATAGCCTTTGAACTCAGAGGCTTACATGCATCCCATGCACACCGTGAGGCACAGCTGTGACAATCTGGCACAGCTGCGCCTCATACCATGTATTTGATCTATGTGGCCATTTTTGGCCAAGTCGCTCTAGCACTGGGGAGGGGCAGGAAAGGAAGCAGTTAGGAATCAGTGTGAGGCATCAGAACAAGTCTCCTCCCCTGCCTGGCAACCCCTTTTCATCCTCCCCACAGATTCAGAGAGGCACCTGGTGTGCTTCTTTCTGAGCTGGCTGTGAGAGGGGTCGGACAGAGGCTTGATCTTCAGTATCCCACCTCCCAAGTCACAGGGCGTCCGAGCTGAGGGTCCAAAAAGCACCCTTAGAGGTGTAACCATTCATGGCACCCTACTTTAACTCCACAAGTATAGGAATAGAAGAAAATTTGTGTCTAGGGGCAAGTTCATTGCACTGCTATGTCACCATAAAAAGCAGAGCATAATAGTACAAACAGACTTTCATTGGTCTGTCACCTTGCCAGCTCAATTTGTTAATTTGTATGCTTCCCAAAATTGCAGGACTTACCACAAGATATGCATGTTATTACCTTTGTGGAAATCTGGTAAAATCTGGTAAAATTTCATTATAAAGGCTTTTGTTGCAGGATTGCAGAATTGTATCAGACTGAAGAAGTATTTTGTTAGGACACCCCAAGGCCAAGAACAGTTTTTGGTTTGAGTGTTCCATTGCAGCTGTTGCGATTGTAATAGTAACTGTAGTCATCTGTTTTTGTTGCTATTGTTGTAAATGACAAAGAAATGACATTTCAGTCCATGATGCTAGCCATATAGCGTTACAGCACTTTTCTCATAAATTGCTGACCCCATGTACCTGAATCAGGTCCGAAAAAGTTTAGCCTCCTTGATGAGTTATGTCATTGTCACAATGCCTATTTTAGTTTTAGGGTACCTGAAATACCAAAGCAAATATTGAGACAGGAAATGTAAGACTGCACATTGTTTTTGTGGGTCACATTGGATTTTGTGTGTTACTATGTACATAACACCCCTTAAGTATCCATAGCAAATATTAGATTTGAGGTGAATGGGTTCCTGCACTGTGAGTGAGGGTGGGTTGCAGTCAAGGCCATAAGGTAAGGGAAGTGGGGGATTGAAGAAATTATGCCATCAGTACTTCTGGAAACTGATGAGGCTTGCTGTACAGGTCCAAGTCAACTGCTGCATCAGCAGTTAGAGCATCCAGTGGCTCCAGAGGTCAAAAAAGCTGCTGAATAATAAACGGGCCTATGTTCTATTCACCCAGGATTGGACCATGATCAAGAACAAGCTGTGAGTCAACATCTAAACATCTGTGAGGTAATGCAATGGCTGTGGACTAATGGATATAGCATGGACCTAGGAACAATCCCAGGTGGAGTTTTCTGAACATCAGGAAGGTACATGCCTTGACACCACCATCATCTCTGGAGCAATGGGGTTAGCACCTACCATTGCAGTGGGTGCTAAATAGGAATAGGGGCCAAGTTGCATTTATAGCTGATATCTTTGCTTTGCAACTTTAATTCTATATCTGCTGTTGGCACCATCAATAAAGCAATATCATGATCGAAAAGCTCTTGTGTGCTGTATTGTTACCCCCACTCTTTCTGGATTTCAGGTCTGATGATCATCCTATATCAGGCAGATTTGGTTACAAGTATAGTGGGGAAATGAAAAATTATGGACTCTAATGATAAAAATACCATTTTAAATAAATGTTGCATTTCTCCTAGATTTAAGTGTGGCCACCAGTGGCTCCTTGGGGTCACAGTCTTGGCTAGTTTTGACTTTTCCAGTAAAAAGTCAGCCCGTGTCCCCTGCAGCTCCAATATTGCCTACCAAAGGTAATCTCATGTTCTCAATATATTACAACAAGGCTACTGAAATGGCAAAGGGTCCACCTCAGTTTAAGATACATCAACAAACCATATCATAAATGGCTATTTATATCATCACACTATGTCATTTCTGATCTTATGAGTTGTCCAGATCTTGAATTTTAATTTTTTGTTATAACTGAGGTATGTGTGTTGCAGCAGATGCTTTACACAAATTTTGATATTAATTGTCTAATTGTCAACTTTTGCCTCGTGTATTAACGAGATAGCTCACACTTCATCACTGATAAAGAGCAAACCCTACAAGCAGAATTGCCCAGGCCTCAGCCAAGTGGTTTAAACAGCTTATGGTACAAGTCAATAGTGTGTACCTTTGCCTGTTAGATAGCTACAATGCAGCTCATAAATGCTGTCTGCAAATCTTGCTGAATTATCTCAACACCTTAAAAGTGTAATTATCTCTAAGTTTAATTGTGGTGTTACTTCTGAAACACAAATATGTCCCACCAAGCAATAATTCAAGCTCTACTTTAGGTTCTTTCAGTAAGGAATTCAAATTAAACCAAAAGCAGTAATAGATTAATTGATGTTATTCATCAGTTAACTGACAGTAGGTTTAAATGTGGAGTTTTGTTGGAATTATCAGGCAGCTGCATTACTGTGAACACTCAAAGGAGCGCTCTATGCAAGATACTCAAAATGATTTAACAGGTATTTCCCTTCCCAGATTATACTGGGAAATAGTCCTTGGGAGAGGAGGGGACAGTGAGGTTCCTATATTTATTATTGTTCTACTTAATTATATTCCTCCTGTTCCCAGCACTGGGACTCAAGGTGGCTTACAACATTTAACATGTATAGAATTAAAAATCAAAAGAAATACACACGTTAAAAAATTAAACATGCCATGCTTGAACTGGGGCTCCAGTGCCTTCCCTTGGAGCTGCTACACCTGACCTAAAGTTTCAGGCTTCTACAGCAGAAGCCTAGAGATGTCTACTTAGATCTCAGTCCCATTGCATTCAGCTCACCATTTTAAATTATTGTCTTTATTCATAATAGAATTGCATTTTATTTGCTCATCTTGAATAGCAATGATTTGAACCAGCGAGACACTGGCTTCTGGGGGAGGAGACATGGCCGCTGAAGGCATCAGAGTGGTGGGAGGACTACCTCTTCACTGCTCTGGTGCCTTTGTTAGCTGTGCCATCCCTGCCAGGCGTTGCCTGAATGGTTTGGATTGTCGCTACTCAAAATCAGCACCTACAGATATTCCAAAATGGTGCACTGCAGGGCACCAGCCTCAGTCAGCAGGTAGCACCATCACTGAAAGAGGAGCCAGAACCACCAAAGGAGTCACTGCTGCAACTAGGTTAAACATAGGCTGGGAGCGAGCAGCAAAGGACCCCAGAAAGCACCTTGCCCGCGACGTCCTCAAACCTGGCAGCACCTGTGAGGAAGAATCATATGCTCTGAAGTTATCTCAGCATGCAATGATAAGCATCAAGGAAAGGCAAAGCACAAAATGGGATGATATGCAGGATGCGAGGAGTCGGCAAGGTAACATTAAATTAACTGAATTATTGAATGCATGCAACTGATCTGTGTAAAAATAAAAAGAGTTCCTCCCTAAAACTTGCTGAGATAATACCAACCGGAAAAGATTAAAAATAAGTCTGGTGATGTGCTATAATAGTTGTGTGTGGGTTATGCCACAAAAACTGTTAGAAGCAACACTCTCTTTTAAGCAAAGTATACAGTAGGACCCCCGTATCTGCCCTCTCAGTTACTGTGGTTTCACTTAACTGCGACCAGTCACATTCATGGGATTAGGGGCACAGGACCCTGCAAAAGAGGAAAAACCACAGATACGTCTAGCAAAAAACTAATGGGTATCTCTTGAGTCTTGGTACCCACTGAGAGATAAAACACACGAGTAAGGCCTGATATTACTGAGACAAAAAAGTGTGGTGTCCCCAGACAGAGCCCCTAGAGCAGGGGTTGGCGACCTTAAACACTCAGAGAGCCATTTGGACCCATTTCCCAGGAGCCACAAGACTCTTTTGACATCTAAAATGAAGATAACACTGCATATATCATTTTTACCTTTATGCTATGTGTAAAAAAACTATAGTGTGTTGCATTTATGAAATCAATGAATGATTCTTTTATATAATCTCCATCTGTGAACTGCTTTCTGACTATTTCCTGAGCGGCCACAAAACTAGCATATGCAGTTGAATTTGCAGACTTAATCCACTTCTTGAAATGATTTGTGCTTACATCAATCTTCCACATCAGTTCCAAAATGACTTTTTTTCTCTCATCTCCATCCAGATATTTTTCAGCAAAGACTGTGTGTTTATTCTGGAAATGTCTTGCAACATTCGACTTTTTGTTGTTTGCCAGTTTCTCACCACGTATTAAGCATACTGGTAAACCAGTCATGTCAGCAGTGAAAGCATCTGAATCTGCCCACTTACCATTAAACATTCTGTTTTCTTCTGAAACTTATATTTTCTTGGATTTATCCATGGTTGGCCTACTGGGGTCGAAAAGCTCAATAAATCGCGTGCTGTGGGTGTCACACATTGGCAGTTGTGACAATTTTGAGCAACAGGGAGCCGCAGCAGAGGGATGAAAGAGCCACATGCGGCTCCGGAGCTGCAGGTTGCTAACCCCCGCTCTAGAGGTATTCACAGGTTTTTCTCTGGAGATATTTGCAGTTTTTCCGCTTTTGTGGGGCTTCTGTGCCCCTAACTGCCATGAATGTGGAGGGCCAATTGTACAGTATATAGTGTTTGCTACTATCCATGGTTTCAGGCATCTGCTAGGGGGGTTTGGAACCTATCCCCCATGGATACATGGGTCCTTCAATATTGATAATGGTATCCACCATCTAGAGCATGGGTGCTCAAACTACGGCCCGCGGGACGGACTCGGCCCACCATGGACATCCATCCAGCCCTCGTCGCCATTTACCACCCGTGCGCACGCTTGCTGTGTGGGCGCGGAGGTGATAGCTCACTTGCTTGGAGATGATCTCTGAGCAAGCAAGCCGCCGCCTGCCTCCCGTACATGCGCACTCACCGCTGCTTTGCAGCACGGGCGGGGGGAGGTGGTGTCTTGCTCACTCGGAGATGGTTTTGGACTTGTTGGGAGATCTCCAAGCTGAGCGAGCCCAATGCCATCTTGCACGCACCCGACAAATCCTTACCGGCCCATGCGCCCAGCCCCCCCTCACCAGCCCGTGTGTGTAGCTGCCGTCTTTCTACTGGCCCCCTATTGAAAAAGTTTGAGGATCCCTGATCTAGAGTGATATGATATTCATTATTCTAGATGCAATACTATTTTGTGAAATATAATGCATGCATATAATGAGAAGAATGATGAATGGGAAATCCATTGAAAAGGAAGACTTCAGGACTACATTGATTTTATTGTCACTGAAGCCATTTATCATACATACTCCCAAAAAGTTTTGGCAAGAAAGCAGAAAAGGGCGGGGGGATCTTATATTTTCCATAACTGGATAACATGCATTGCACATGAAAAGAAGTCTTCAAAATGAATGAAGGTTTACAGCATCTGTTCTTTGTGGGGAGATTTGACTTATCCCCAAACAATAGCTTTTAAGTGCTATATGAATTGTGTGATAAGATGAAAGGAATTTCTTGGAACGGTGAGAATGGCTACCACACAGAACACATGAAGCAAAGTTCTAAAATACAATGTGCATGCCTTATTTCACTGCAGTTCATGAGGGTGGGAGAATGTGGTTTTTGAGATACAGTCCAGTAATTACCAGTAATAAGTGGGATGATGATGGGAACGAGAAAATCAATAACAGAAAGAATTGTATCAGCAGTGAAGATTAGACTAGTTAATCTCTTACATCCATCTTTTGCCTTTTTGAATTATTGTCAGAAAAAGTGCAGCCTTTCTCCCAAGAGTTATCCAAAGCTTTAGAAGACCAAGGTGTCATCCAGACAAGATATTTATTCTGTGATCACCTTGCTTCACTCACAGATTTTTACAGCAAGTCCAGATGACATTATCTTCCATTTGTAGCCCTGCCATCTTTCCCCTACTGCATTGTCTGTTCTTTTAATAATACTGGGAAATTATCCATCAAGAAAGAAAAGATGGGACAGTTGCACAATGCCTTTTGATTGTTAGCACTCCAAGTTCTCTGTCTAGTTGCACCCCTGGCCTGGAAGCTCCCTCACATTTGTCAGCCCTCTCATCTGCTTTCACTCAATGCATTTTCCCAAAGGTACACATTACAGGGAGAATGAAAAACAGCATCTTGGCACACAATCTTATGTGTGCTTTTCTGTCTAAACATATATAGGGTTGCACCCTTATATGACTTGCAAAAGCCAAGAACTCTCCCTAGTTTTCAGGATTGTGCAATGAAAGCTTCCAAGTCTAACCTCTTGTTCACCAAAATTTTGAGAACTGCACTTTGTTCAAGTCAGCAATGCAGACTCTAAGCCATCAAGGGAAGGGGAGGGACTGGAGAGATGAGGTTGTGAATCATTTCAGCTTCCTCCAGCCTCCTTCCCTCCCACTTCAAAGGGTCCTTGCTAGATGGGCTGATAAGCTTGAAATCCCATCTCATGAAAGAGAGAGAGAGAGAGAGAGAGAGAGAGAGAGAGAGAGAGAGAGAGAGAGAGAGAGAATCAGAAGATAAGAAGGGAAGATCTCTTCTGCCTCTCCATAAGCAGGACTTATTGCTGCTCTTGGTGCAACCAACCAAAATGGCTTCTTTTTCAAGAATTGGTTCCATCATATTTTGTCCTTATTACTGAAGAATGTATTCAGATCTTGTCAGCATCTTATACCATTTGCAGCTACAGATTCTCTGTGGTAGAGAACTGCACCTTCCTGGAGATTGCAAACATTTCTGAAAAGTAACTATTGTTATGAGAGATTAATTTTCTACCAAAATCCCCATTTGAGCTGAGAAATCATGTAAATATTTAATCGTTCATAGTTATTGGCTGTTTTATTCACCATCATATTTAACAGTATGCTGTTAAATAGGAAGGTATTTAGTTCACGTGATATTCTACAGAATCAAATCACCCCCTCTTAATGGTGTTTGTTATAGATTTAAGCTGATACAAGCAGAAAGACAGCAATCCATAAACTGTTTCTTGGACCTATTGTAGTGTAAGTGGTCTCTAGATGCTAGCCTTTGTTCTTCAGAAACTAGAGTGAATACATTCAGTTTGCTTTACATTAGTAAAGCAAACATTCCACCTTCCTTTACATGTGTAATAAATCTCTCTCTCTCTGGTGAAACACCAATTACTATCCCCTCAATCTAATGCAAAGGCATTTACAGTCATATATTTTTATTTCTGAAATACGCAGTGCCTATCAACTTATCTCAAATGTCATCTCACTTTTACATTGTGCTTTGTTTAATTTAGGCTTCAGTCCATAAAAATGCTGACTGTTAAGAGAAGCATTTATTGCTCCAAGTCAACACATGATGCAGTTCACCTACATAAAATATGACACAGCATAAGATTTTCATACAATATCAAGTCTTTCAAATGCAAGCTAGTCCGGAGAAGAAACATGTAACTGCCAGTCAACTTGACTGGAAAATCCCTTGGCAACAGTCTCCTGAAAGAATCTTGATAGATGCTTTCCCTCCTTCTGCTATGGACTGCTGGCATGACCAGCCAGAGCTGGCGATGGACCACCCTTCCCTAACCTGGCGTCCTCCAGATGTGTTGGACTGCAACTTCCATCATCCCACATGGATGGGAATGATGAGCCTTGTAATCAAATACCTCTTCAACATCTTCTGGTTGAAGAAGGGAGGAGCAGAATGGAGTGAAAGGGGGAGGCATTCCGTTGTTCCCTAGCATCTCTACTGCTCTGTAGACTTCATTCAGTTAGTGTGCTTTTAACACAAGCATTTCGCATGGGACAACTTCCACAGTGCTCTTAGAACTGGAAGAACAGCCTCTATTAAACTTGTAACAGCCTTGTTTGTTAACTGATTCTCAAATATGCCCTAAATAATCATTCCTAATATTGATAGAGGTGGTCAATAGTCACTGCAGAAGTAAATAAACTACTTTGTACTGTATAAAAACACAAAAACTCCTTTGAGGTTCAGTATTGAAGAATGCTGCTGGAGCATGTACAGAAAGCAATCCAATAGAATATGCTCAGAGCAGCTCAGAAACATCATACTTCACTGTGTCCAAATAATGAAGAAAAATAGAAGAGAGAAAATTTATGCAGGGACAATGTTTTCTTCCATGGAGGCTGTTCAGTGGAGAGAATTATATTTAATTAAACTGGCAGATTCTGTATAATGGAGTAGTCCTTTGAAAGTCAAAATATAGGTATATTTTACAGGAATATTGCATGACAATATTCTATGTTTCTATCCATATGTTTCTATCCACATGTTGGGGATTACATGAGCAGAACTGGTTGAAGTTTCAGGTCAGACTAGATGGCCCGAGAGACCCCTTCTGACTTGCTTTGTTTCTATGTTTCTATCCACGCAATATGCATATCGTTTTGGG